GACCAAACTGGGCTGGATTGTGGTGGTGTGCTGCACCCCCTGAAACACCAGCGCTCGTCTTGCTGTGCTGCTGCGGAAGGCTGGGCCCAACGCTCTGCTTCAAAAAAAGATTATTTTTGTGTCATTGGTCACAAAAAGAGCCACTACTTACACAGGCATTCAGCATTTGGGCTTTAACAAAGGCAGCTGGCCAGCTTAGGTTGTTTAGCTCTGAAGGAAATAACTCTTATTGATGTTGAAGTCTACTTGTGGGGCGTGGATGAGAGCGATTTTGGCATTGGCATTACATGTATGTTGATGCCTTTGTACAGGTGTCTGCATCATTCTGGGTGCTTTGAATTTCCACTGGTATGGTTGTGAAGTGCTGTAAGCTTCATGAAATTAGGTTCAGTACAGTTCTCTTTTTACCTATAAATGTCATTTATGGTTAACGATTTTACTCAGGCCCAAACCAGAGTACTGGGAACTTCATTACTTCACACTGCTTCTTATGGGTTCTCCTGGTTTTACAACTCACAGAGGAGGCATACTCCAGAAATCATAAATACTGAAGATCCTACTGCATTTACCTGTTGGTTTTACTTTTTTCGTAGGAATTCCTGAAGGCGTGGAAGATCTCCCTCCTGGAGTAGCCCTCCCGCTGGAATCAAACCTGGCCTACATGAATGGCATCAGCTTTACCAAAGGTTGTTACATTGGACAGGAGTTGACAGCCAGGACCCACCACATGGGTGTCATTCGCAAACGTCTGCTGCCAGTCCACTTTTCAGCTCCTCTTCCCAAGAACAGCATTCCTGTGGGTGCTGAGATCTTAACTGAATCAGGAAAGTCGGCTGGCAAGTTCCGGGCTGGAAGCGGTGAACTTGGTATAGCTTTGCTGAGGTTAGCTAATACAAATGAACCACTCTGCCTAAATATAGCAGGTGATAAAGTGAAGCTCACTGCAAGTATACCTGAGTGGTGGCCAAAAACTGCTGGTAAATAAACAAGGAACCACCACTTGCACATTTGCCTTATTGAGAATATATTTTGTGTGATAAATTTGGGAAGGCGACTTTGCCTTGAGCTGTTGTTTGTGGTGTTTGATGGAGGTGGGGGGAGTTATGGGATTCTTCAAATCGGGACTAAACAGCAGAAATCCAAACCGGTGGTGCAGCATTGAGGAGAGGAGGATAATCTGTGTATGCTGTACGGGTCTCCCCACATAACAGAGAAGCACACCTTTTCCTGAGGGTGCCTCGTATTTATTTTGGGGGTGCCATGTGTCATTGGGTCAGACTCCTGCTGAATTTTCTGTCCACCGCTCGCTCAATCAGACTGCACACCACGTAGGGCATGGCACATGTTCAGACTGACGCGAGTGATGAGGGCAGGAGCTTACCCAGTTTTATGCACTGAATGTTTGTGTTCGGAATAACCATTCTGTGGTATTATAATGGTGTTTTTTTTTAAACATGAGAGCATGCTGCTCTTACCTTGCATAAAACGCAGACTCAGGCTAAAGCGTTCACTGCAAATTACTCCTTGCATTGAGCTTCTTCTTAAACTTGCTGATTGGGTGGGTGTTTTTTCCCAACACTCTAACTGCTAATTGTGTTCAGAAAGAGGAATACCTCGTACTCCACATTTCAGACCTTGATTTTAATAAGTCATCCCTGGTGGGAAAGCTCTCGAACATCCTGGACCCCTGCTTCAGCGCTGGCAGAGGGAGCACAGCCAGCAGCAGCCACCTCCTCTGCTGCTCCTGACCTCAGTCACGCACACTTCCTTCACTCAAGCAACTGTTTTCAGAGAGGAAAGTAGTATTTTACAGAAATAAGGTGCACCGGTGCATGCTCTGGGTTGACTATTGTATTGGTGTACTAGTGCTTGGCAGAATAATCTCTTGCTAGAAGCACATGCCCACCAGATGCCAACAACAGTTGAGGGGTGAATTTTTTTGGCATTGACATCTTTGCTCTGTCATCTTGTAGAAAAAATCCTCTGCACTTTCCTGAAGCCTTTGGCAGGGGTTACCTCAATCCCTCCCCAAAGCTGGTGAAGGGACAGCGTGTCCCCTTCGCAGACATTTGCTCCTTCCCTCAGCATTGAGGTGCAGTCCCTGGAGAGGGGGTTAAAGCTACATGTGCTCTTGGCTTAGCCTGGTGTTCCTGATGGAGGATTTTCACCTCACTCGTGTCTCTGGCTGCTTCACCACCACGCTTGTTCTGAGAGCTCTCTGTACCCCTCGTACAAAAACCTGCCTGGGGTGAGTCCCTGCTGCTGTCTCGAGCTGAGGTTTTCTCTATCTGCCATCCCCTGCGGGTTTTCAGAGTGGCCCAGTACTTCAGGGTTTCTTTGCTGCTTTTTTTTGGTTCCCGCTGCTCTTCTGTCTTTGCACTTTTTCTTGCCTCCACAGTCAATGTATTCCTCTTTACCCCCTCAAAGCCAACCAGCTCTTGTGCCCCTGAATTCTGTCAACCTGCAGTAATTTTAGGAGCCCTATCTATTTTTGTATTACAATAAATCCATTATGCACCTGCTCTTGGAATGGTGTGTGTGCAAAAGGGTGTGTTGAGAGAGGTGAGCAGGTGAGATCCCATGCAGACCAAAAAAAAAAGCTCTCACATGCATATTTGTGACAAAAGCTGTCCAAAGCACATTCTGCCACTGTTTCAGTGTCACTGTTACTGTGAAAGGAATTTATCTGTGAAAAATGCTCATATTGATTAAAACTCTTTATGCTTGCTGTAAAATGAGTTTGTGGAATATCTCATTAAAAGTTTATTATATTAGTAATTTAAATGTGACTTGTCTGAAAGAGAAGACACGCTACCTTTTATTTACCTTGTGTGAAGATTCACAACAGAATACTTTTTTGGGTCACTTGCTGATAAGAAATGTGTCTTGTGCACTGTTCGTTACCTCTTTTGTCAGGTTTGAGATTGTTAACAAAGTCTTTGTGCTGGAAAAATAAATGCAATTGCAGTGCTTCACGCTTTCTGGATCTGCCGAATGCGACAAAGGCGAGACTGTGCTGCCCGTGTCGATGCCGCTTTGCCAGAAGCAGCTTTATCTCTCTGCCACCCATTGTGCAAAGTCTCCTCAGAATAGTTCTATTATACTTGTATGAGCGCAGCCTGAATAAATACCACCTTTCTTCTGTTGGGGGAAACCCTGCATCTCTTTTTTCTGGGGCACACACGTTTCTTTTGTCTTATTAACATATGTGAAAGGCTTTTCTGTTGCCAACAGCTACAGGTTACAAATGGCGGCACTTAGACACAAAATACAGATATGGGTTGATTTTCAGAGGTACTAGATCACTTCTGGAGAAAGAATGTGGCAGAAATTGGAGAGGGCAGTCCCAATCCGTGCTATCCTTATATTTTTATTCTCCCTCACAGCTTGCTCCATCGTTAATGGCTTTAGCCAGGTGAGCTCGGGCAGGAGGGCTAGGCTGTCAGCTTTGTTCCTACAAGGTCGATTTTGCAGGGTTGTTTGACGATCCATGACAGCAAATCTCCTTCATCTGAGGTGGAACTCAGTGAAGTGGACTGAAGCTGTGGTGGAGCCAGCCAAAAAGGGGCGAATAACTGCCAACCTGTTCGTCACGTCAGCCAAAGGGTTGGAATGTTCTGGGCAGCACTTTTAATAACCGATTTCTGCAGGAAGGAGGAAATGTTGAGAAATAAAACACCGGTACCAGGCCCACACAGCCTCTGCACTGCCCTGGGTGGGAAATGTGATGCTTTTGTGGTGCAATGCTGTCAGGGTTTTGTGCTTTTTTCACACGGGACAAACATGGTGGCTGAGGGGGGCCGTCAGGTAATCTGCTCAGGCGCTTGTTTCAGACTAAATGGGCCCATGTGAACCCCATGAGGTTCAA